ACGAGGGCGGGGAAGAGGAGCGGCGGCGCCGGGACCAGAGCGGCGGGCCGCCCCGCGAGCAGCAGCGCGACGGCATCGACGGCGTCGGCGCGCACCTGTCGTGGCGTGGCGCGGGAGCCCGGCGGTGAGGAGGCGGTGGGGAGGGAGGCGGTGGGGAGGGAGGCGGTCGGGAGGGGAGAGGCGCGGGGGTCGAGGGAGAAAGGGAGGGCGGTAGGCGGGCGGAGAGGAGGAGAGAGGGCAGCGGGAAGGAGAGAGAGGAGGAGGAGAGAGAGGCGGCGGGCAGGAGAAAGGGAGAGGCAGTTGAGTGAGGGCGGCGGCCGAGCGAGGGCGGCGGGGAGGAGAGAGGGCAGGGCCGTGAGGGCAGGGCCGTGAGGGCAGGGCCGACTCGTACCGCCGGCTCCTCGCGTGACAGCGCGGCCTGCAGGTTCAGCCGCAACAGCGGCTCGTGCGGAGCCAAGGCGGCCGACTGCTCGAGCCGCGGGAGGACGGCGCCGAGCAGGGTGAGCAGCGCGCGCCGCACGCGCGCCGCCGTGTCAGACACGAGCGGCGCGGCGCCGGAGAGCACCTCCGCCGCGTGTGTGTGGAGGAGCGACGGGTGGTCGTGAAGCAGGTCGTTGAGGCCGAGCAGCGCGTCGCGCCGGACGTCGGGCGAGTAGTGCCGCAGCTGCGCGAGCAGCTCTGGCAGCGTGTGCGAACCGCGTGACGTCGTCGGCTGCGTGTCGCGACCGTCGGCAAACTGAGCCTGCTCGAGCAGCACGACTGATCGCGTCTTGAACTGTGTGGCCGTAGTCGAGGTCGGCGCAAGCTTCTTCTTGCCCAGCTTCTGCTTGCGCTTCTTGAAGTCAGCGGTCTTGCCGCCCTTTGGCATTCCCAACGAATAACCTACGTTAGCCTGCTCCTCGCCGGACTTGCGGATGGCAGGCAGCCCGGATGCGTGCTTGCCAGTGTATGAAAAAGAATTTCCGCGAGGAATGAAAAGAATTTTACAAACGGGTCTCCTCCTTGCCGTTTTTCTTTTCTTTTGAGAGCAGAACGCCGGGTTTGTCTTGTATGTGCGTGTCGGGGGTGTGTCAGACGTGTTGGTGGGAGGCAGCGGAGGGCGGGGGCGCGCATGGCCGGAGGCTCAACCATTCGTCGGCTCGTCGGGGTTGGAGAAGGGGGAGGGAAGTCTGGGCGGTCGGCGAGGGGGTCGTAGTGGGCTGGACGTACGGGGTAGCCACCACTTTCCTGCCTCGAAAGGGCGGGGCTGTCCCGGAAAGTGAGAAACGCCGGGCAGCGTGGTGCACGATTTCAACCTCCCATACTGTGCCGTACGAAAGCCTGTGCAGCTTGTGAGGGACACGATCCCGGCGTGAACACGACTAACTGACGGATCCGCTCCTGACAGTGGCATGCACCGCGCTGCGGCGCGTGCCACTGTCTTTGTTTGAAGTTAAAAGTCGAATCAGAGCGCCGTCGGCGCTGTCCCTCGTTTTCCTCCCACGGACCGCCCGTCCGGCACCGCTCCGGGACGCACGCCGGCGAAGCACCATCAGGCTGCTGTACGGCCCCGGCATCGCCTCCCCTGCTTAGCTAGACTGAGAGATATTGTGTATATGGTTGGTCTCTACAATATACTCACTGACACTGAACCTCCCAGAGCTCGTCCCGGTCCGCCACGGTCATCCTCGGCCTCCGGAGGGCCCCCGGCCGCGGCGCGGTGCGGCGGCGTCACAAATCCGACGGCAGAGCACCGGGACGCGGTCGGGCGATCTGAGGTCCAACTAGGCGTATGCATTGCCCATCCAGGGCTATCACCTGGACCTATCAACAGGCGCCTGCGGCGCCGTGCTCAGGAGCTGCTGTTCACAGCTGCACAGACTTTAGTACGGCACAGTACGTTTGTTTCGCTCCTTTCCTCGGGCTGTTCCAGCTTCCCATCTCCTTCCAACTCAGGCGAGGCGGGGGCGGGGCGTGGGTGCGGGGTGCGGTGCGCGCCGTGCGGTGTGAGTGTGTGCGTGTCATGTGGCTACAGCAAGTGTCCGTCTGTCTGTCTTATTATTAACAACGAAGGCGCTCTCAAAGAATTTACAACTGCCCTCGTAGCCCTGAATGTGGGGATGTGAGGCTGATAGATCTAACTGCACTCCAAGTGCTCCAAGTGCTCTCTCGCACGACACCGGGTACGGGACTGGCACTACAACGGCGACGGCTTCTAATAGAAGCCGTCGTCCTCACAGATGCCGTCCTCCTCACAGAAGGCGTCGTCGGAATGGTAGTCAGGCGGATGGTCGAATCCGCGAGCACCGTGGTGCTCACCGAGAGGACCTCCCCATCATCCATCCTTCCTCCGACTCCATCCCCTCCCCCCCCCGTCGCTCCCGCCGCGCCTCCAGTCGGCGTTTGAGCTGTGGGACCCCCCGCACCCCCCGCCAGCGCCGCGGGCCGGGGCCGCGCCGAAAGAAAGTTAGTGATTTACCTGTGTTACTGCCAGTGCGCGCCAGTCCCATGCCCAGGGTCGTTCTAAAGAAAGAAAACCTGGTGTTTCGAAAGAATTACAGCTTGCCACAGAAAACCTCCGAGAGACCCTTCGGGTCGAGGAGGGTACTCGAGTAAGACTGTCACCTGTTCCGACCTTGATCCTTGGTACGTTAGCAGGGCGGGATCGTCGACTAGCGGCGCGCGCCCACCATCGCGGTGGTGCGTTGTACGTTACGCGGGGCGAGCCTGTAGACGCATTCATTCCCGCGTGTTGCGTGGCCGGCTCTGCTCCTCCCCCCTCCCCTCCATTCTGCATGCACGCACGTCTGTGAGACGCTCAGACGCTCTCTGTCTCGGTTTTTACGTACGTTCGTGTACTTTTATGTTCGATCGCTAGAATTGGTTCCCTTGGCGTGTGGCGGACTTGTCCTTTTCCCTTCCCTGTGAGCGATGGAATCGACAATGTTCTCGCGGTTTGGGACATGTCCTCCCTTTCTTCCCTGAGCGCGATGGGACAATGTCGTGTCTCCCCGTCGGTTTCTGGATTCTCGTGCAGACCAGAGCGGTAGATGGTGGTTCGACACATGGATCGGTGCCGATCTACTTTGATATTCTACTTGTCACAGCTCACAGCTCACTATATTTATCACACGGCCTTGCGTCACCGACTCCTTGGCAGTCGGCTGCTGTGGCCCTGCAATGGGGCCGCGAACGGCTCCGGGGAGCGGGTACGCGCCACGCACAGAGAAGCGGACCGTCCGATTGGTCGCGCCGAGCGCCTGTGCGAGCAGGGCGAGGGACACCTGCCGGTGCGGGCCCGAGTGGCAGCCGACGGCGAGGTCGTGGTACAGCCCATCGGCGATCAGGTCGCGCGGCGTCACCTCGAAAAAGTGCCCAAAGATGCATCCGCTGCGCACGGCATCGTTCTCGTGCGCCATGACGATTGGCAGCCTGGCGCTGCGCGCGGCGCGCACTTGCTCTGCGAGCGGCTCGGCGCCATCGCTGGCCCACGTCAACCTGTTCAGGTAGAGCAGCATGTGCGTCGCCTCGTCGCCGTCGCCGTCGCTCGCGTGAGGCAGCGTGGAAAGGCGCGAGGGAATCGCGTCGGTGATCGAGATGCTGCCAGACGTGGCGGCCACGACCGCATCTGCGAGGTCTCGCGCCCCGTCGTTCAAAGTCGAGGCCCAGAGAACCACCGGCTTGGTGAAATTTAGCTCGTCGGCTCGAAGCTCGCCTGGGATGTATAGCGGCAGCTTGTCCTCATCCTTGTACTTTGGCGTCTGGAGCAGCAGCGCCTCGGCGATGACCTTGAGCGAGACGTGCTGGAAAGCTTCGATCCGATGCCACACCACCGTCGGCCAGCCGGCTTCAAAGATAGCGGTCTGCAGCTCCTCAGGGCACTCGGATCGCAGCTTGGCGAGCGTGCCTCCGCCCTTGTCCGGGTCTGCCTCGTGGACGAGCACGAGCGGCTTGCCCATCGCCAGGGCGGCGCGGACCTCTCGCAGGCAGTTTGTCGAGCGCAGATAGCCCCGCGAGAGGAAGCACAGCACCACCTGGGAGCGCCCGATGTACGCCTCTAGTTCTCCGATGTTTTTGAGGTCATCGACGTCGAGGAAGATCTCGGAGCCGGGCAGGAGCTGCTGCAGCTCGTTCTTGATGACGGCGACGGCGTCCTACAAGGGAGGAAGACTCAGGTCAGGTCTTCTCCGCACACGCAAAGAAGGTGAGCCAAGGGAGTGACAAACCTGCCCCGTGCTCCAGACGTGGCTGAGGAAAAGGTGCCACTGCTGGCCGTCGGCGAGGGTGATGCCGTCGCGCAGTGGTTCACGGCTAGAAGAGACGAGCCGCATGGTCTTCGCCCTCGAGGCGCTGACCACCGACACGATGATGACGACCAGCGAGATGGCAAGCATGGCGGCGGTAAGGATGATGACAAATGATGTGGCGCTGATAGAGCTATCAAAGCCAACGAGGTTGTAGCACATGTCTTCGTACGTGTTGCTCTCACAGAGCTGCGGTGGGCGGGGACGGGCGATGAGACTTTGATGAAGGTCGACAGTAGAGAGAGAAAGAGAGAGTGGGAGAGTAGAGAGGACGCGCCTGAATGACCACCCCGGCGCAGAAGCAGCATGTGAGCATCAAGTTGGCGACGCACGCCAGGTAGAGGTCGTCGGAGCGTCGGTAGGGGCGAGCGAGGGCTAAAATGGTCGCAAACATGGCCGAGACGATGGCGGCGACGACAAGACGCTGAAGCTTGATCGAGCCGTTCTCTTGATCGATGAAGAGCACCATCGAGGTGAGAAAGATCTTGCGGGTCAGGTCGATCACCTATTCTCAGACTCGTGCAGGGCTCATGAGAAATGTCAAAAGCCACCCCTTCACAGAGTACGCCGCACACCTCCCAGAAGAGGAAGCTGGCGGAGTAGTCCCGCCAGAGGAAGCTCGTCGCGGTAGACAGGAGAGTCGCGCGCTGCGCCGTCACTGGAACTCGGACGCGGAGCAGAAGCGCCAAAAAGCTGACCGGCACAAGTACGGGCCAGAGGCCAAAGAAGGACCAGAAGTAGGCGCGCAGCTCGCTCGATCCGTTCTCCCAGTCGGGACCCGCGTTGCACTTGAGCGATGTGTCGGCGAGCAGGAAGCTGATCCGCGTCTCAGACGCGTCATCGTAGCCAAACGACTGACACAGGATGGCGCCAAAAATGGAGCGCGAGACGGAGGGCAGGACGAGGTAGAAGAGGAAGATGGCCCAGTAGAGGAGAAGGCCGAGGGTCTTGCGGTCAAATGCCCCCCGGAAGGCCGAGCAAGAACCGGCGCCCGTGACTAGCTTGAGTAGCACCGACCGGGCCAGAATGGCGAGCGACACAAAGGCCGCAGCGACGTACGGCCATAGGCCCGCGATGAGCATCCGACTGGCCATGCTGCCGAGGCAGCTGCCAGGAATGGCGAGCTCGAACACGTCCAGACTGAATGCGTTCAGCCAGCTCGTAAAGCGCTCATTAAGGCGGACGCCGTACACGACGCCGAAGGTGCTGCTTACCTGGTAGAAGCTCACGATGATCTTGAATTTGGGCTGCAAGCCAGCCTCGTCCGCCCGGCGCCAAAGGCGTCGGTGCCGGATCGCGGCGTAGGTGCCGGCGAAGACCGCAAGTGCACAAGCGAAGATGAGAGCCACCACGGCGGAACGACCGGTCGACGGGCAGGCGACGCACTGTCCCTCAGCGCGGCTAAAGTACTCCGAGGGAGCGACGCACAACTCGCAGAAGGGGCCCGTGTGGCCCCGGGTGCAATAGGGGCTGCTTCCCTCTTCCGCATTGCGAGGAACCTGCAAGCTGGCTCCGACGCGAGGGTCTGATCCGATGCACGTCTCTGAATTGCATGGATAAAGCTCCGAGGTGCTGGGAGAGGCGCGCCAGTAGCCGGGGGGTACACCGAGCGACTCTAGCGTGGTGCCGGTTGCGTTGCATGTGGCATACCGCGGGCACGGCTTGCAGTGCTCGGTCGGGTTCTGGAAGATGTCGTCGGGATCGGCGGTTGCGTCCCGCAGGTAGAAGTCCTCCTTGCAAATGGAGCAAGTGGCGTTGCCGCTGCCGCTGCTAAGTGGGAATGGACAGGGGACGCACTGCGAGAGGCCCTTACTCGCCGCGTAGGTGCCCGCCTCGCACTCCTCGCAAGCTGTGGCGGAGGCTGCGTAGCTGCCGATCGGGCAGAGCTCGCAGGCGGACATGTTGGCTGACGAGGCGATGCTGCCTGGAGCGCACGGCGTTGGCTGCGCGGCGCCGCCGGCACAGAAGCTGCCGGGTGCGCAGCCGAAGCAGTCCTTGAGGCTCTCTAGCGTCCTGGACGCGTTGCCGTTGTACGTGCCAGCGGGACAACTGGCCGGCAGCTCAGCGCTGCTTCCTTCAGGGCAAAAGGTGCCGGATGCGCAGTCGAGGCACCTCTCACTGCCTGCCGACGGCTGGTAGGTGGCCACGCTGCAAATGGAGCACCGCTTCTGTCTGGTTCTGGAGGCGGTGCCTGGAGAACACTGCGCTGGTCTTGCCCCTCCACCAGCGCATGATGAGCCCGCCGGACAGTCAAGGCAGTCGGGTTCGCCGCTCGTGTCCGTCTCGTCGGCGTACGTACCCGGTTGGCACGGCGGATCCAGCTCACGCGACGCGCCGATCGGACAGAAGCTGCCACGCTCGCACGGGATGCAGCCGGTCGCGCCTGTGTCGGTCTGGTACTCGCCCGCCTTGCACAGGTCGCACTCGGCGTTGCGCGAGCCGGCAGCGAAGGTCCCCGCGCGGCACCTCACGGGAGCCACGCTGCCCGTGGTGCAAGCGTGGCCCGGAGGGCAGTCCTCGCAGCCGCCCGCCGAATCGAGGCCCGTCTCGGCCGAGTAGGTACCCGCCTCGCACGGCAGCGGCGCCGACGCGCCCTCGGCACAGTAGCTGCCCGCCTCGCAGTCGCGGCACGCTGTGGCGCCCGTGTCGCTCTGGTACGTGCCTCCGACGCACTTGTCGCACGCCGGCATCCGCCCGGTCATCGCGATCGTACCCGCCGCGCACCGCGTCGGAGGAGCGGCGCCGCCAGGGCACGATGAGCCCGCCGGACAGTCAAGGCAGTCGGGCAAGCCGTCGTCGTCCGTGACGTCGCCGTATGTCCCCGGCTCGCACGCCGCGGGCAGCTCGAGCGACGCGCCGATCGGACAGAAGCTGCCACGCTCGCACGGGATGCAGCCGGTCGCGCCTGTGTCGGTCTGGTACTCGCCCGCCTTGCACAGGTCGCACTCGGCGTTGCGCGAGCCGGCAGCGAAGGTCCCCGCGCGGCACCTCACGGGAGCCACGCTGCCCGTGGTGCAAGCGTGGCCCGGAGGGCAGTCCTCGCAGCCGCCCGCCGAATCGAGGCCCGTCTCGGCCGAGTAGGTACCCGCCTCGCACGGCAGCGGCGCCGACGCGCCCTCGGCACAGTAGCTGCCCGCCTCGCAGTCGCGGCACGCTGTGGCGCCCGTGTCGCTCTGGTACGTGCCTCCGACGCACTTGTCGCACGCCGGCATCCGCCCGGTCATCGCGATCGTACCCGCCGCGCACCGCGTCGGAGGAGCGGCGCCGCCAGGGCACGATGAGCCCGCCGGACAGTCAAGGCAGTCGGGCAAGCCGTCGTCGTCCGTGACGTTGCCGTATGTCCCCGGCTCGCACGCCGCGGGCAGCTCGAGCGACGCGCCGATCGGACAGAAGCTGCCACGCTCGCACGGGATGCAGCCGGTCGCGCCTGTGTCGGTCTGGTACTCGCCCGCCTTGCACAGGTCGCACTCGGCGTTGCGCGAGCCGGCAGCGAAGGTCCCCGCGCGGCACCTCACGGGAGCCACGCTGCCCGTGGTGCAAGCGTGGCCCGGAGGGCAGTCCTCGCAGCCGCCCGCCGAATCGAGGCCCGTCTCGGCCGAGTAGGTAGCCGCCTCGCACGGCAGCGGCGCCGACGCGCCCTCGGCACAGTAGCTGCCCGCCTCGCAGTCGCGGCACGCTGTGGCGCCCGTGTCGCTCTGGTAGGTCCCACCCGCACACGGCATGCACTCGGAGAGCCCGCTCGTGGCGGCGTAGCTGCCCTTGCTACATGGCGTCTGCTCGGTGGAGCCCGTGGCGGCGAAGTAGCCCGGGCTGGCGGCGGTGCAGTCGCTCCGCTCGTCGTTGTTGGTCGCGCGCGAGTAGCTGCCACCATCGCACGGCAGCGGAGCCGCCGAACCCTTGGCGCAGTAGTGGCCCGGGAAACAGTCGCGGCAGACCGTCGCGCCCGTATCGTTCTGGTACGTCCCACCATCGCAGCTGGCGCACTCGGAGAGGGCTGCCGCGGCGGCGACGGTGCCTGGCCGGCACGGCGCACACGTATCGCTGCTTTCTGCACCCCGCGTTGCGCTAGCGGTGCCGGCTGGGCAGCGCTCGCACGCAGCGATCGAGCTGGACCCGTTAGCCGGGTTGAAGCTGCCGGCGGGGCAGGGCTCCCAGACCATGCGGGTGGCGGCGCCCGCCTCCTCGCAGTAGCCTCCGCGCGGGCAGGGGTCGCAAGCGGCGAGGCCAACCTGAGGAGAGAAGGTGCCCGCTGCGCAAGGAAGGCACTCCTCCTCTCCTGCGAGAGGCTGATGCTGGCCTGGAGCGCACGGGATGCAGCTCTCGCTGCTCGCCGCGCCGAGGGCGGGCATGCGAGTGCCGACCGGGCAGGGCTCGGGTTCGGCGGTCCCCTCCTCGCAAAAGTGGCCCCTGATGCACTGGCCGCTGCAGGAGGAGTTGGTGAGGTCGCTCCTTGCCCCGTAGTAGCCAGCGGAGCAAGGGTTGCACTCGGGGGCGCTGAAGTCGCCCTTAAAGGCGCCCTCGCTCGGCATCCAGCGGCCCAAGCGGCAGGCCCAGATTATCGGCGACTTGATTGCCAGTATCGTGATGCCGTTGTTGCCGGTGAAGGAGGCGTCGCTGATGGAGGTTTGATCCATGTTGTCCAGGTACAGCACCGAGCCTGACCTGCCCGCGCTGTTGTTGATGAAGTCGACACCCGCGATCTTGCCGGGCGAATCAAAGGAGAGCTCGTTGTAACTCGCGTAGACGACGCCGCCGTACTGCAGTTGCGCGGAGAGAGCGGGGTGAGGCAGCCGTGGTCCTCTCTATCGCTCGCCCCGCTGTCGTGCGCATGGGCTGCTAGCTCTACGCAGCGCACATCAGCAGCAGAACAGCCCGTCACGGTCGAGCCGATGATCGAGACCGTACCGCCGGAAGATGCGTAGACGACGCCGCCGGACTGCGGTTGCGAGGAGAGAGCGGGTGAGGCAGCCGTGGCCCTCTCCATCTCTAGCCCTGCTGCCGTGCGGCGCTTGCAGGGAGGCGGCTAGCTCTACGCGGCGCACATTGCCAGCCGAGCAGTCTCTGACCGTCGAGTCGATGATCTCGACCTCGCCTGCGTTGATCGCGTTCACAACGCCGCCGCTAGTCGGATAGTTAACCCTCCCGTTGACGAGGGTCAGCCCCCGCAGGCTGAGGCTGCAGTCACCCCGGAGGTAAAAGAGCCCGGTCTGTCCCTGGCCGTCGAGCGTCGCGCCCTCGCCACTGCTGGCGACGACCACCTTGATGTTGGAGGTGCACCTGATCTGGCTGCCCAGCTTGAGGTGCGCACTGGGCGGCAAGTAGATTGAGACGTCGGCAGCTGCCCCCTCGATCAGGGAGCGGAGCTTTGTCTCGCTCGCCACGGCAACATCAAAGCCGGGGGAGACCGGCGGTGGCGACGGCAGCTGCGGCGAGGAGGGCGAGAAGGAGACAAACTGCGAGAAGGAGACGTCGTCCAGCGCCATGTCCGACGTGAAGCCCGACCCCGTCCGGCCGTTGAAGCGCACCCGCGTCGTCGAGGCGGGCAGAACGACCGCCGCGTCGAGCCAGCTATCGCCCTGGTTGCCGGTCCTGCTCCAGAGCGTCGACCAGCCCGTCTCGTCGTCGTTGGCTTCGACGGAGAGGGTGCCCATTTGCGAGCCGAGCATGTGGTAGAAGAAGGAGAGGGTAGCGTCCCGCTCGAGCGAGAAGAGCGGGCTCTCGAGCCGGTGCAGCTTGCTGAAGCGAGGGCTGCTCGCCTCGGTGAAGAGGTAATAGCCCGAGCCGGTGGTGTGGTCGCCGCTCGGGCCTGTGTCTGGACTTGATGGCGGGCTGCCACTCGTGCGGGTCCAAGGGTACCCGTCCGGCGCGGTGTCGGTCCAAGCGCAAGCGTCGACCTCGAAGTCGCAGGTGAGAGGAGACTGCGGCGAAGAGGGCGGCTGCGGCGGAGAGGGCGGCAGCGGGGGTAGCGGCGGCGGTGATGGAAGCGACGGCGGCGGCGATGGAGGCGACGGAGACAACGGCGGCAGCAACGGTTGGCACGCACAGTTACACCCGCCGTCAGACCAGCAACCGCCTGGACAACTGCAAGCGCAGCCCCAATTGTTGGCGCTGCCAGCGGTCGAATCGTAAAAGCCCTCTGGGCAAACGACTGATAGGCGCCGGCGGGTAGGCTGCTGTGTTTCGTTCTTCGACAGCGGCGAAGGCGGCGGAGACGGTGGCGGCGACAGCGGCGGCGGCGGCGGCGGCGGTGGGGAAGGCGGCGTCGACGGCGGCGACGGCGGCGGCGGCGGGGACGGCGGAAAGAACGGCGGCAACGGCGGCGGCTTCGGAGGTGCAACGTGCGAGAACGAGACGTCGTCCAGCGCAATGACGTAGGACCCCGTCTTGCCGTTGAAGCGCACCTGTGTTGTCGAGTCGGGCAGGACGACCGCCGCGTCGAGCCAGCTATTGCCCTGGTTGCCAGTCCTGCTCCAGAGCGTCGACCAGCCCGTCTCGCTGTCGTAGGCCTCGAAGGAGAGAGTGCCCATGTCTGAGCCTCGCATGTGGTAGAAGAAGGAGAGGGTGGCGTCCTGCTGGAGCGAAAATCGCGGGCTCTCGAGCCGGTGCAGCTCGTTGGGGCGGCCAGAGGCCTCGGTGTAGATGTAGGAGCCCGAGCCGGTGGTGTGGTCGCCGCTCGGGCCTCCTCCACTCAATGGCGTGCCGCCACTCGTGCGGGTCCAAGGGTAGCCATCCGGCGCACTGTCGACCCAGGCACAGGTATCGACCTCAAAGTCGCAGGCGAGAGGAGATGCGGCCGCGCTGCTGAGGAGCAGCGCGGCGGTGGTCACGCGGATGAGTGCTGTGGCTGGCTTGAGCGAGGTGAGTCCGTTGAGCATCACAGAGGCTCCTGCGCCGGCGATGCCCGTCACAATTAGCAGTGTCTTCTGGGCGTGCCCTGCAGCGTCGGCGTGCCACGACTCGGGCACCATGCCGTTCACGAAGAGGGTGCCGCGCCCCCGAGCAGCGCTCTCGGCGGTCTGGTCGTTCTCGGACATGAAGACACTTGTGTGTATCCCAGTGCAATGGGCAAACAGAGGCCGCCACCGCGAGAGCTGTGCGTCACGGCGCGTGAAGGCGCGTTTTTGCGTCGGTGGCGTGAGCACAAGGGTTGGCCTCATCCTTGATTGGTGCGTGTCACATGATCTTTAATCGCGATGATTTTTTTGTGTCTCTCTTTGTCTGTGGATATACGTCGCTGTGTGTGAGAAAGTCAGGTGCTGCGGCCTGCGTGGAAGGACACCTCATCTCCGCCGGTCCGTGGGCTCTTCGCCCCAGTTTCCCCGAAGAGGCACACACCTACTATGCGGGCCTCACTAGAGGTGCGGCCTGCGCGTGTCCTCGCCCTTGGGAAGGTCTTGAGGGGGAGCGGAAGGGGCTGTGTGTCTGTGCATGCATGTGTGTGTGTGTGTGTGTGTGTGCGTGTGCGTGTGTGTGTGCGTGTGCGAGCCGCCCTGAACGCCACGAGCGCGCCGCGAGCGCCGTAGCGCCGGCGAGCGCCGTCGGCAGCGCGCGACCGCCACCCAAAAGTGGAGGTACATCAGGAGCCGCAGCCGGCCTGCTCTATCAACCCCGCAGCCGCGGTGGCGGGAGCTCAGGGGTGGTAAAGAGACCTTCCTTAGGTCCGCCTCTCAAATCCTCACTGTCTGCGATGTGAGCTTCTTGTTTATCCTCCACCTGTATATATCTGTGTTACTCGGCCTTAGATAGCCGTCGTTTCGTTTTTTTAAGTCAACCGTGCGATAGCAAAGTAGATATCGCGAAACGACTTTCCTGTCCGGCCGCGTATTCTGCCGAGCGGGGCCGGTCTGATGCTCTCGCTCTCACTGCACCCGCTCATTGCTACATCATCCATCCCTAACCCACCGCCGCCCTCGCCTCCGCCTCCAAGCCCGCCGCCGCCCTCACCACCACCGCCCTCGCCGCCACCACCCTCGCCGCCACCGCCCTCGCCTCCACCTCCAAGCCCGCCGCCACCCTCGCCACCGCCTCCGAGCCCGCCGCCACCCTCCCCGCCGCCGCCCTCCCCGCCACCGCCCTCGCCGCCACCGCCCTCGCCTCCACCTCCAAGCCCACCGCCACCGTCGCCACCGCCTCCGAGCCCGCCGCCACCGTCACCTCCACCACCCTCGCCTCCACCGCCCTCGCCGCCACCACCTTCGCCTCCACCGCCCTCGCCTCCACCGCCGTCGCCGCCACCGCCCTCGCCTCCACCTCCAAGCCCACCGCCACCGTCGCCGCCACCTCCGAGGCCGCCGCCACCGTCGCCGCCGCCACCGTCGCCTCCACCGCCCTCGCCTCCACCGCCATCGCCGCCACCGCCCTCGCCTCCACCTCC